CGGAAAAATTCGTTCCCGAAACCAGAGCTGGGAAGCTCTGTCCCTCTTACAAGCTTTCTATGTTGATACGGGTCTATGCCGACCTTAAAGAACAAAATAATTCCGCTCCAAAACTCCAACTAACATGTTTTGCTCTCAAGTGCTCTGATCAACAAAAAGCTTAGGAGACTTAATTATCCTGCACGACCTCTCCCCACCTTTGGTCCTCTTGCAGTTTCTCCAGAAATCTCAGAGCGCCAGTCCCCAGTACAAATGTGACCTGGGTCTCATCATTCTGGGTGGTTCTCCTGGACACATCTGTAGGTCCCAGCCTATCCAACCTTTTGAACCACGTATCCGAATAATTTAGGCGCAAATCCAAACTCTCCTTGCTTCTCTTTGGCCGGATACACAGGATTTGAATTAAATTCTGAATCCGGTCCGTAAAGATTCTATGCAAGCTGCCTCCTCCCATCGCCCCCTAAGCTCAAAATCTTCTGAGGCACGCTCCACGCTCAAAATCTTTTCTCCCTTTCTTCTGCAAGGTCCCTCGTTTAAACAGCGTCGGCGCCTTTATTCGCCTGACCCGATGCGGAGGAAAACCGGACTGATCAGTCATTGTCTGGTCCGCAACCGCCCCCACTGCCGCAATCAGTGTCACAAAACGCCCCTTTCAACAGATTCCAAACCCTCTTCACCCGGGCTCACCGAGCCTTCAACTTCATTAAGTACGCGCAGCGGCGGCGCTGGAGGAGGCGAAGTTTAAATAAACCCGAGAGGAAAAAGAGGAGGGGTGGGCTGGGGAGAGTTGCTGGTTGAAGGGGAGAGAGTGAAGTATTTTTGAAAAGGGGGAAAAAAGTCATCAGGGGAAAAAGCGCTTTGTAACCGCGAAGACGCGCCTGCTGTGGCGAGAACAAATTGGATATGGAGGGGAAGTGTCCTCCCCCATCTCAACTCGTGCTCCTGGGTGGTCCGGGGTGCCCCAAGAGAAAGAAAGATGGGGAAGAATCGGAGAAAAGAATTAACCACTTTAATTGCGCTGCGAGAGAGAAGTGGGAAGGAGAGACTCACCGATGTACCTTGATCACCCAAATCTCCTTCAATAAAATAAATTAAAATATTAACTGCCCTTAGCCGTAGCTGGAAGCATATCAAAGTTTGAGAATCAAAGCTGTTCTCAGCCATAGAAAGTAAATCTGCAAGATGGGGGAAATTGTGCCCGGAAAGACCCCCTCCCCCTTCTTGCGGCCTGGGGCCTCCCGGCGCCGGATGAAAAGGAATGAAATTGAACGAAATTGAACGAAATGAAGTGAAATTGACCAGTGAAATTCGCCAATTTTCTTCCCCTTTAAACTGCCCGCTCTCGGTAGCACTCTACGAACCCTAAGCCGGTTTCTTAGCATTTTTTTCTCACCTCGAGAGATGAAGGTGTGCCCTGGCTATTTTCTTATTGTCACCGATTGTTGCGGCCTGTGGGGGCAGAGGCTCAGGTATCTTCCACCCAGACAATGGGGGAACCCACAGGAGCCGCTGGAGACGGGGTGGCCTACTGCTCCTCCCTCCAAGGCTAGCATCCTAAGTAAGCGGTCTTGCACTGAACACCCAAACCTGTGCACCCACAGGGTGGGGACGGAGCCACTTAAGAGTCCCTCTGGTCTGGAAGGGATGGGAAGCCGGAAGACTCTACCAGAAAAATCTGAAATTCCCTCATCCTCTTTGCCTCTTCCTAACAGTCCAGGTCCCAGGTAGGTCCTTGCCACCTCCTAGTAAGTTCCTGGCCCACACAACCCGAGTCCCAAATTCCAAACACCTTCCCTCTCCCTTGCCATCAGCCTGCAGGTCTCCCAGCAATTTTTTCTGATGCTTTTCAAGGCCAGTTGGGCATTGGTGGCTTCTTTCTGGACTCCAGTCCTCAGCCACAATTGTATCTGGCCTATAACTGGCCTTCATGACCCCAAGGAAGCCCTGGTCTGAGTCATGGGTCTGAGGTCCCAAGCTCCCTAGAAGTCCCTGAAAGGGTGTAACTCTCTTCCCCAATCCTCTGATTTCTATGTTTTCCTGATATGGAGGCACCCCCTGGTACACACATGAACACCAAGCAATACACTCAGATAAACTCACACACACTTTCACAAACAAAGGGAAGAATCTGGAAGGATTTGCTGCTTCTCCTGCAAATAACTGTTGTGGAAGTATCTCATGTATCCACCCATCAGATATAAATTCTGGCTGACTTAATTTTCTCTTTTCTAAAGAGGAAAAAATAATTGATAAAACTTTTACTTGAAGCTCCAACCTAATACCTGGAAGTGATAAATTTATAGTAAATGAGATTATGTAAGCCACAAGATGTTTTATTGCAGGCAAACACACAGTCATGTTCAGCCTTCCTCAAGTGAAAAGAAACAAGTCAAACTCAGCAAAGTAAATCAACCAAGCAGCCAGCCGAGACCACAATCCCAGTATCAACAGATATTTCCTCTTTTTACCATTGAATGCAGCCTTAGTCTCTTGGATTGTTTGATAAGATCATGGAAAGGTGGCTCTCAGTATTCATTCTCCCTCCACTTCACAGTCTCTCAAGATGGAGGAGAGGGCACCTCTCCTCTGGCAGAGGAGCTGCTTTTACCATAGGTACTTGGAACCTTGTCTCTCTGCTGGGGAAGGGGCTGAGAGACCTAGCAGTCCCAGCCCCTCTCTTTCAGCGCTGTGCAGTCTTCCCACCCTGGTTCTGACTATCATCTTAGAGGGCACTCTGTCGTCTTCCTCCTCCCTCTTTCCTACTATTGCCAATGCCTGTGAATCCACTTAAAGAAACCTGTATGGCTTCTCCCTGTCTGCTCAAGTTCTCTACATCTCTTGTTCCTTCTCCATCACTGGTCTTGCAGTCCTTGCCCTGTGCATGTGTCTATCTTCTGTGAAAGCTGAACTCCCTCTTCTGGACCTCCCTTTCACTCCTCTCCTGTGACCTCAGTTGAATGTACAGAGAAAAGAGCTACAAAGTAACCATCTTTGTTTCACCCAAAGCATCTCCTCAAAGATCCTCCAAGATGCTTGCCAGTCTGGGCACTGGGAGTTCCAGGCATAGGCATCAAGCTGGAAGGCTCATGGCTTATGGAAGACACTAACCAGTCCAATGACTGCCCTCAAGCAATAGGTTTGACTATGAGCATGGCTCAAGGGTTGGGGAGGTTTTCTGTAACAAAATAGGACTACACTGACTCTCTTCTTTAGCACATAGCACACCTGAGACTGGGAAAAAGAAGGGTTTCATAGTCCCAATTCAAGCCTTTTATGCCAACTGTTCCATGATGGTGGTGGTGGGGGTGTATGTACATCAATAAAGGCTCTACAGTGACAACAGAAATCTCTCTCCTTTTAGAAACACAGAAAGAGACAATGACAGAATCACAAAGAGACACACATAAATTAAAACACAGGATATCCTGAAATACAACTCGCCCCCCCCCAAAGGGACAACAAGGAACAGGTATGTGACAACCCAGATACACACACACACAAATCACAAGCTCCATAAAAACCCCCTGCGCATAAGAGCACACTGAAAATGCATCAAGTGACACACACTTACACTTAAACCAGTGTAGTGTCCATGAGCACTGGGCACCCAGATCTGCCAAGCCCATGCTAAAGTCTGAACTTGAAGGAGATGAGACTCCCCAAGTGCATTTAAAACAAAACCTGAGGAACCCCAGGCAGAAACCTTCCTGGACCAGAGCGAAAATGAAAGTGCTGGGGGGGGGGGTCACAGGCCTCCCAGAGTCCTTGACAGCAAGGGCCAAGGGACAGTTTCCCCCCATACCTGGGAAGCCCAAGCCCTCCTCTGCCTGCCTGGGCTGCCCAGGCCCTTCCTCAGTCTACCTCTGCCCAGAAGCTGGGGGTCTTCTGGGAGAGCCCTGACTAGGTAAAAACGGGAGTGCAGGCAAGCAGACAGAGCTGGTGACTGCTGGAGTTCACATACATTTATTCAATTGACACCAACAGGGACTGGGAGAAGACAGATTGTTCTTTTCTTCCACACAAACCATCAGATGATTTCACAGAATCTCCCCACAGTGGAGAATTCTAAATCAATGCACACCCAGTGGACAGAGAACGCAGATAGCAGCCCGCTGTACAGATATTTACACATAATTACAGGACCCCCTGCCACAGGATGTGCCCTGGCCCACCCCACCCCCACCTCTCCAGTCCCTGACCCAGACCCTCCTCTCCCACCCAAACTCATTGCCTTAGCTACAATAAATATCCCAGGGCCTGGGGCAGAGCAGAACGCTGACAGGGCTGCTGGCCCTAATGGTTGGCTGGACCCAGCCAGCCACGGGAAAGAGGAAAAGTTCCTTCAAAATCACCCCAACACAAAAAAGGAAGGATGTTTCCCCGTGGAGTGGAATCCAGGGCCTCCGCAGGGATTGCGGAAGCCCCTCATTTCACCTCTCGGTTCAGCTTCACCTGTGTGGGCACAGCTTTAGGCTTCAGAGAGAACGAACTTCCTTGGAGAAAGGCAAGGGGGGGGGTTTCAATTTTTCTCTTAAGCACGAAGCAGGTAATAGGTGTCTTTAAATTATAATATTGGAAAAGCAGGGCCTCAAAATCGGGGAAATGGTGGAGGAGAGACAGAGAGAAAGATCTCTCTGCGCAGTTGGTGTTTCTGGCAGTATCCGCAGGGCCTGGGAGGGCACCGGGGAAAGAATTCTTCCGGAGCTGCCAGAGACGCAGAGGCTCGGAAAAGGCGAAGACTTCCCCCTTCCCCTCTTACTGCTCAAACTGGAATGGGATCAAGGCTTGCGACCTCGTCGCGCAGACCCGGGCCTCTCCCTGAGCGATGGAGCCCGCTTCGTCCCAACAATCGCCGAGATTCTGAGCGTGGAGCCAAGTCATGCGCAGGCCCAAGGACTGGAGACTCTTCATAAATAGACTCCCTGAGTTCCGCTGGGACCGCAGAAGCTCTCGGGAGAGGCTGAGGAGTACGGGCCTAAGTGGCCCTGAGCCCGACGCGGTCAGAAGTGGCAGCCACTGAGACCAGCAACTTTGCCGGCAAACGGGGGCCCTGAGGACAGGAGGGAGTCCCCCGGGTGAGAGAGGCGGATGTGGCCGGCCACTGGAGCCAGAGCCGGGGCAGTCAGCATGGCCAAGACTTGGGCTTGACCCCCAGGACCAGCCGCCGCGAACGGCGACCCCGGTGAGCCCTCGCCTCCGCCCGGGGGTGCTGCCCCGCCGCCACCGTGGCCCATGATGTGGTCTATAGAGAAGGAAGGCCTCTGCCCGGCCCCGGCACCCCCGCCGCCCGCACCACCTCCCGTGTCTGTCTTGAGGCCCTGACGCAGGAGTGCGGTGGACAGACCAGCCGCGGTGCCGGCTGCGGGAGGACTCAGTGACGCGGGGTAGAAAGCTTTGGCGCAGCCCAGCTCTGCGCCCAGGAAGGCGGGCAGGCCTGCGGGGCCCGAGCCCGGGCCCGAACCTGTGCCAGGGGCAGGCGCAGGGGCCGGAGCCGAGGCCGCGCCCGCGAACACTGAGGCCGTCGGAGGTCCGGGTGGAGGCGCAGCGGCACGGCCTGGGGGAACCGACAACTGGCAAGGCGCGGCTGCGGCTGCGGCAGCGAAAGCGAAGGCGTGCGGGTGTGGATGCGGATGCGGGGCCGGGCCCGGAGGGGGAGCGCCGTAGGCAGGGAGCGCCAACCCGTAGCCGTAGCCGTAGGCGCCGTAAGCGGCGAAGCCCGGCAGAAAGGCGCCGGGGTCCCCCGCCGCCGCAGCCCCGCCACGCAACAGCAGCTCCGGGTGAGGGTGCGTGTGTGGATGCGGCGGCGGTAGGGGTTGCCGCTTGAAGCGCTTGCGGCGCCGCAGGAAGCTGCCGTTGTCGAACATGTCGGCAGACTCCGGGTCCAGCGTCCAGTAGTTGCCCTTGCCCGGGTTGCCCGGCTCGCGGGGGATCTTGACGAAGCAGTCGTTAAGTGAGAGGTTGTGGCGGATGCTGTTCTGCCAGGCGGGGAACTTCTCCCGGTAGTAGGGGAAGCGACCGCTGATGAACTCGCAGATCTCGCTAAGCGTCAGGCGCTTCTTGGGGCTCTGTAGGATGGCCATGGTGATGAGTGCGATGTACGAGTAGGGCGGCTTTACCAGCGGGCTCCGCGTCGCCGCGCCCCCCGACGGCGGTCCCGGTCCGGGCCCCGCCGCGCCCCGGGCCGCCGCCGCGCCTGGCCCAGGGCTTCCCGCTGCGGCCACCGCCCCCCGGGGCGCTAGAGCGCGGGGCTCCCCGTCCGAGCAGCCGCCCGACTCCTCTTCCTCAGCTGCGTCCGCCTCGGCTTCCTCCGAGGGAGGCTCCGGGCCGTGCGGGAGCACGTCCCGCGGGACCCGGGGCCCGGGGCGGGCCAGGAGTTCCCCCCCACCGCTGCTGCCGCCTCCGCCGCCCACCACGTCTATGTCTGCGTCCGCCTCGGATAGAGCGGCCGGGGAGCTCTCGGAGGACATGATCTCGCAGCAGCAGCTGCCCAGGGTCATGGTGCCGCCGCCGCCACCGCCGTTCTCGGCTCCGCTCCGGCCGCAGCTCCGGCTCCGCCGCGCTGCCTCTAGGGCGAGTGTGTTTTGCGCGCGGGCGGGGAAGGGGCGGAGGACTGAGGCGGGCCGGGAGCTCCGCAGCGCCCCCTCGTGGCCTAATTTGGCCGTTCTCACCTCTCGGTGAGCACCCGACTGGCTGCTCTCTCCGCTGCCCCGGGAGCCCCGACCGGGGCCTGCCCCCGGAAGGAGCTGAGGCCTCTTCTCACCCTGACCAGTCTCGGGTCCCGGTCCCCCCGGGATGTGGAGAAGGGAGGGTCGGGGAATTCGTCCCTCCCGCCTAGCAGCTGCCTAAGGCGGAAGAGCGCGAGGCCGGGGCGGAGCTCCCAGGGTGGGGCGGGGCGGGAGGGGGCGGGCTGGCTGAGTGGCTTCGCGGAGGGGCCCGGCGGGAACAAACAGCCGCGGCAGCGGGAGCTCGGCTTGGCCGGGAGGCGGGTCCTCCTCCTCCCAGCAGACCCCGCAAGTCCTCCGTTCCCTGGAGCTGCTGCCTTCAGTGGACTCAACCCACGTAAGTTAAGGTTCAAGCGGGCGCCAGCCAGAGCCGGGAGAAATAGCGACAGCCGCCACCCATCATCTATCCCCAGTGCAGCGCCGGGCCACCGAGGTCGAAACACAGTTAAAGTGCGAAGAGGGCCTGAGACCCCAGGACCAACGCCGCGGGAGTGGGCCCCGCCGGAGCCTGAGCAGCTTCCGGCCCAAGGGGAGACGTACTTGAGTAATCGCGAGGAGCAAACTTGGAGCTCTCAACCTCGGGCCTCGGAGAGGTGAGAGATTCCGCCTGCTCTCCTCTCTCTCCCACAAGGCTTCGACCCGCTCACCATCCCCCTGGCCGCGCCGCTGGACTCTAGAGGCGAGAGTGTGCGCAGGAGACCCGGGGAGTGCGCCGCCTGCCCGTCAGTCCCTCCCCGAAGCTTCTGTGCGGGCTCTGCATTCTGCGAGCGCGGTCCGGCCCGTCGCTCTGAGTTTGCCTGCACTCAGACCTTTTTCTGTCTCAGTATCCGTTTGTCTCAGGCTCTGTGGTTGTGTCTTTCTCGCGCTCGGTGAGTCCTTGTCTCCGTTTCCTGTGGAAACCCTGCATTTGCCTGGATGTCTGTTAATGGTTCTAAGAATCCCTCGCTCTGTTTTGCTGTCTTCCCCACCTCGCGACGTACTGAAGGGCTGCCCCCCAACTTTCTGGCCGGACTTGTAGACTCTACATACAGGCGGCAGGACTCCCACGGAGACCTTCCCCAATGAACCCTGCCTGCAGCCCCGGGCCAGTGTTGCCTTCATCTCTCAGAATCCTGAGCACACAGGTTGGTCCTCTGCCCTTGTACTTGTCAGCCGGGTTCCGTTCCGTCTCATTAGACCTCTTCCTCCCCTGGTCTCTCTCCAGGAACCCAGCAACGGGCAGCACCCGCTCTCAGACTGGGCCTATCTCAACCTACAGAGGTGAAAGGGGAGATGAGCTGGAGGTGGGCAAGAACTGAGCGCGTGGACGGGCGAGTGCCCCGACAGCGCCGCGCAGTGGCCAAAGCTCCGATATGCGAGGCCTGAGACCCAGCTGCCAGTTCCACAGTCACAACGCTGCATGACAGTCGGCAGTTTACTTCCCCTTCCCAGCCTCAGTTTCCTTCTTTACGTAGTAGTTAAGGGCAGGGAGCCAACCTAGAATCGGTCTTCTGGGAGTCCCAATCCTGTAATCGGCGCTGCCATCTTGGATAAGTTTCATAACTTTTTGTACCTCTGTTTCTTTCTCTGTAAAACCGAGATGAAAAAATACCTTGGTCGTGACTAATACGCAGTAGTAACCAAATCTTTCCGGGCTACTTTTGAAGAGGGTATTGAGAGCACTTTAAAGGCTCTTGGGGAGAAAGAAAGGAGTTGGAAAGTTGGAAGTGGTGTAGTCTCCTACCTGATCTCAAGCATTGGTCCAGCCCCCTGACGGGGTGGGCTACCGCTGTCATCTCCTCACTGTGCTGAATTGGGTCCCCTGTAAAGAAGCGCTGAGAGGAGAGTGGGAGGAAATTTGCAGCTCCTGCAGGCTGTATCTTAGCAGGGCCAAAGTGAGGGTGGAGGAATTCTCCCTTTCATCTAACGGCAGCCTCCAATATATGGAATAATTTAGTGTAAACCTAACTTTTCAATTCCACAGGCAGGGCAACAGAGTTCCCAAGGGGCAAAAGGACTCCTCTAGGCTCCTCCAACAAGACAGACCAGGGCTGGGTGCAACCCTTGCCACAGAATCCTCAAGCTAGAGTTCTCCATCCTTCTCAGCCAAAGGAGGATGGAAGGCAGGTCTGACTGCTCATATCCTGTGAGAACAACTCTGGTGTTCTCTCTGGTACCTCAGAGCAAGGAGACCCACCTAGTGTGCTGGGCCTGCATAAACATTGTTCTTGGGGAAAAAGTGAAGAGGTCCAGTTCTAAAGGCACAGACAGGAAATTGACAGGAACTGGTGGCCCTGGAATCAGAATTTCCTAGGTAATAGGGGATAGGATGGAGGAGGGAGGCTTTGGAGAGAAGTTTCTTCCATGAGTCCAGATAAACTCACATACTTAGGGGTTGCTAGACTTAGCAAGTTAATTTTCTCTGGCAACCGTACACATACCCCCAACTTGCTCAATCTCTCTCACATCACAGATACCCTACACTCTCTATCACACACCTCTTCCAACCCAGCTCAGGGCTGCAAATGTCTAAGTAAATGGAGAGAAAAACAAGACTGGCACCATCCCATTCCATCTCATCTTCTAAATGTCTTCCTTTTTAAAATAGCAAATGTAAATAAGTGGCTTCCTTCCTTGCCAGAGCTCTCCCGGTTCCCCATGCTCCAGCCCCCTGCTCAGCTTCAGGGAAGAATGGCTGAGGCATTTGTTCCAGACACCCTGGCTCTAATGCTATAGGCAGAGCTCTACAGAGCAGCTGCAGTTGCAGGCCCCTGCCTCTGCCTGGTCCTGCTTCTCACCGACTGCTGCTGAGACTAAAGTTGAGGAACTGGGACATAGGACCCCAGCCCCTGTTCTGCAAAGTGTGAGTGGTGTACGATCTTCAAACACACAGAGTTTTACAGGAATGAAAATCATGGAGGCCCAGGAGATCATATGATTTGCCAGGTTTGGAGGAGGGCAAGTTGGGTTAGACCCAGGTGTCTGGACTCCCAGCCCAGACCTGATCTGTTTATCCACATGACTGCTTAGCCCCTGACTGGGCTCCGCTCTTGCCTGAGGGGGGTGTTTCTGGGAACTTCCCATCTCCCAAAGTTCTGAGCCCATCTGTTTTGAATAATGCCAGGAGTAAGTGCACTGGAGGCTGGAAGAAGGGCGACTGCGGGCTTAGCGATTCCTATAGTAGAAACCTCTATTTTGTGCCCCTTCTCCCGTGGCTCCAGCCTTTCCTGCCTCTGCGGGCCCCCACCCCCCACCGCGAAAACCTGGGCGCTTTTCCAGAAGCTCGGGCTCCAGCACCCATGACTGAAGCCTCCAAGAAGCAGGAGGTGACAGGCTCAGCGGGACAAAAGGGCGCGCCTGGCCTTTTTTTCCTTCTGCTTCACTATTTGGCCACCTCTCTTGAGCAGTCCAGGAACGTTTGGGAAGAAGTGTTTGGAGAGGGCCCTTTCGGAAGTTTTCCAATCCACAATGTAAGGATTACCGGGAGAAGTTGCTGCGTGTTTATTGAGATGTGTTGCTATCAGTAGCGTCTCACCCCCGGATGTCTCTTCCTGTCCCTTTTTGTGGTCCGCGTAGCGGTGCTTTTCGAGCTCCGGGGAGACGAGAGCTCTCAGATGATTATGAGAATATAATTAAGGCAATCAAGAAACTGGCGAAGAGGGCGCGGAGCTAGCTAGAGGCAGGTGGCTGCGCCAACCGATTGCCCGCGGCCTTCCTAGGGTTCCGGGAGCGCAAAGGTCCGCGCCTCGGTGTGGCCGGGCTGCAAAGCGCGGCCTGGGCAGGGCGAAGGTACACAACGCCTTCACAATTCTCTCATTTTGTTCACAAACGGCTGGCGTCGCGGAAAGTGGCAGGACTCGCGCAGTCGCCCGCTCTTCCCGCCCCTTCACGGGGCTGCGGCTCTGGAACAGGACTAAGTTTGGGCGCAGCCTGTACAGCTCAGACTCCTCAGACCGTCCCACCCTAGATTTTCGCCTGATCCAGAGTGGTCAGCACCTTCTGCCCGGCTGGGAGGCTGGGGACTCCAGATCTGTGACCTACAGGGCGAAACTTAGGCGGCGGGGCTCGCGATCAGAGCTCAGGGAGAGGCCGGGCCCTCCGCTGGCACAGCACTGATCGGGCTTCCAGCGTCGTCTGCTTCACCGCCGAAGCCTGCCTGCCCACCCCCAGCGCCGGTGCAGGGGTCGGGCACTTCTGCTGCATCTCCCACACCTGTTGACCCTCCACTTCTAGGAGAAATGTCAATCTTTCCTTCCATTACACCTGGCCACAGCCCCCCTCCCAGCCCTATCTGTGTCGGGAATTACGTGGTGGGGGGGCTCACTTGAGCACCGTATGGCTCCCCTAGGACTACGCGGTGGTTGAGGCCAGAGTGAGCTGCGGGGCCTCAACTCGTTCGTAGGAAGAGGGTTGCATGCCCCGAGATGGTGAAAACAACCCTGCGCCCAAAACGCCCGACCTAGGGGCCGGCTTGGCAGCGACCGCTGTAAGGCAGGCTCCACATGCTTGGGAGACCTGCAGGGGAGTAGGGGACGCTTCCAGGTGTGTCGGGGCGCGAACCTCGGGTCTAGTGCCCCTGATAGCTAAGTGCGTCCTGGGTTTCCGGGTCGGAGGGTCTGCTTCCCTGTCCGTGTGTGTGGTCGGTGTGCTCCTCCGTGCATCAGTGGCTCTGGGTGCCCGAGTACTTTCCTGAGCCACCGGCGCTTGTCCCGAGCCCTCCTCTCCTGAAAGGACGATGTGCGCGGTGTCTGCCCTGGAGGGCTTGCCTTTAACACAGGTCCTGAAGCGGCGTGATC